TAGTATATAAGTCCATTCATTATGTGTGTTCCGAAAATAAGCAGCGGTAGGCGCGTACCCCTCTTTATTTCTGCAGCACAGGAACTCAATGCTCGGCGTTTTTCACTGTTGGTTGCCGAAATGGGTTTCTCTACGTATCAAAATATGACATGGTGCATAACCATGAAATGATAAGCTTACCAGTGGAGGTATCGGAGGTGGAAGGTACTGTGTGCCTATATTTGTATTTTTGTAGAATATGCCGTCATAACTGACTACACACTGCTGTTTATGAAGATGTTTCCCTCGCTTGTTTTCAATTCATTTGCTGAACTTGACTCAAAAATGGAGGAATTCCAAGCTGTATGGCAACCATCTCTCTTTGTTTATGTTTTATTAAGAAAACGGGCTCTATGTATGCTAAAAGGCACACATGTCCATGGTCGAAAGATGAGCCTGACAAACAACGATTAGTCTACAAAAAGTTCAACTATGAGTGTTTCCACTATGGCTATGGCAAACGAACCACAGATGGTCACGAAAACAAGTAATTTCACACAGTCTAATACAAAATTTGAAGAACTCTGAAGACTGGTTGTAAATCTGTGATTTATGTCACTTGCCGTAATGATCAGTTGCTCATTGGGCGCTTCGACATGAGGCATAACCACCCGGTTTCGGGTTCTTCCGGAAATGTCTATCGGCGCAACCGTCGGCTAAACGCTGACCAGCAGGCTGCCGTTAAGGAACATCTTAAGGCAGATCCTCAAGAGTTCATGCTAAAGGAATACATACAGAGTACCTTGTTTGTTTGACTTTACGTCTTAGATTCTTTTCAAGTCTATATGACAACATCAGAGGTCCGGAATCTAAAAAGGAAACTACAGCCTCGAAAGATCGCAAAAGCAACCATTGGTCCAACTCTAAAGAAGCTTCAAGAACAAGGACTCCTGGAATTGCTGGTTGATGGAGAAGGCACATATCAGCTGATTGCATTTACTACACAGGAACTTATGAAAGAGTTCCACCAGTATCCCGAAGTAATTCAGATTGAGGAAGTTCGTCTGTCAAGTGATCGTCCATATTCCATATACTGCGTTTCTATCGTTGACCGCGATGTGCATACGCGGGCTGTTTTCTTCGCCTTTTTGTTCAACAAAGGGGAAAAAACCTTCCGGTACATGCTAAGAGCCTTCAAAAATTTGATGAGTCTAAAGATAGATGAGCTGGAAACTGTCTTTATCGACGTCGAGTTTTCGAAGTCGCATGTTGTTCGGCAAGAACTATCTTGGACCAGGCTCCTCCTACGTCAGGTACTCGTGCTCAAAGATGTCAAGAGTCAAATAAGTCCTGATATGCCGTGTGGACGAAAAGCCCTTTTCCAATACTTTTATACTGCACTAACAACCCAATCTCGCTCAACTTACCTGCGAGCTCTTGAAGACATAATAAATGCTTCTCCAGAACTGTGGGAGTACATTAACGACACATGGATACCGTGCGCAGATCAGTGGGCTGAGCACCTGCGGCTTTCACAGGTAACTTTTGGTGTGGACAAAAGAAACAACTGGGGTGAGACCTCTGAGCCTCTTCAGTCTGTCTTGAATGAGGACTCCTCAGTAGACGATTGCGCGGAGGTCCTGCTTGGTTTTGCGCTCCGGAAAGCCAGGACTCCACCTTCCTATGATCACAACTCTGCTGCGCACTATCCTGGACAGCCAGAAGATATAAAGGCATTGCTCCGGTTGATTTCCGAACCGTCGGCCAGATGTGTGCTCAACCACCTCAGTGAGCCCGCTGGCGAAAATGTTCTCACTCTCCTCTCAGAACGCAAGTGCTTTTGTTCCTTCAATCGTCAGTGGCGACTGCCTTGTTCCCACCTAATAGCTGCCGCCCGGGCAGCATACGTCCCACTCCAAAGTTTGCTAAAGGATTCCCGTTGGCTAGTCATTTGGCCATCTGTAGAAGATGTGCTCTCTAAGTCGTCAGTCTTGCAACTTCGAGATCAGAGCTGGCTTGCCGACGTCAAGTTCTCAAGCATTACGCCACATGTGCACAACCTGCAGGACCTGGCTGTCACATCAGAATCCGACAAGTTACCGAGACGTGCTAAAGAAGTAAGCACACTAGATAACAAATGGTTGTTGGAGAGTGCAACTGAGGGGCGTAGTTGTTCTGCCCCCCTTCGAAGACACCTCTAGTAATCTGTCCAAAGTGCTTGACTCGTCAGTTTTTACTTTAACCTGCCTTCTATTTCTCCCTTGTACATTTGAAAATTCCATCTGTATATACGCCGCTTTTCATCTCACTTTGTATTTTTGAGAAAACCGGAGGATTTCGTAGTTTCCATCTAGTTGCCGCGCGTATTAGCAAGCATCAGGTGAGAAGGGTTGTTCGCAAACTACAGATTTTGTTCATTCGGTGCCGAACACCTGTGGTAGCTACTCGTCTTATATACTGATTACTTAGTCAGCCCAGATATTGTCTCCCGTCTCGCAACTTGTCTATAAATCCTTTGTATATCCAAGATCTTGGTAATAGCGTTTTCCCTGGTGTATGACCAGGGGTATGACTCACTAAAGTATTTCGTGAATGAATCAAAGGCAGCGAGAGTCTCCGGCTTCTCTTTTTTCGACTTAGTCGCCCATTCGCGATCCGTGCAACTACATCCGGCGTCTTTTTGTGACGGAAAGTCTAAACTAATACTTGCACTTGTTTTGATTTGTCGCTTGGGATACAGCCTACGCAAGTAGGTTCGGCCCAGCGACCGTTATCGCCATTTCGACCTGTATCTTCTTGGAAGTGTTGTTAGGTGCTGCACTTCTGGCTTCTATGTCTCTGTGAAATGCGGCACTGGCCCTCTATACAGTAGTCAAGGCCTCGCCTTGTCGATTCACCGCACTTTCCTATTCTGGCACTCATGACACCCGCAAAAACGCTGCGCGTTGGCACACAAGTGACTGTTATCCATAACTCTTTGTAGGGAGCTTCATTTAGCGCTACAGGAACATCTTTCACTTGGGCTATCACACCGTTGTCACTTCTGCTGTAAATTCAGTGGAGACTTTTTTGTTTGTTAGTCCTCCCCGCCTTTATTCTGGATCATCTGCTTCGGCGCAAGCTAGCCTTCTTCAACTAGAGACGCTTTAGAGGCGGTTTGCGTCTGTGTCAGTGAGGCAAAATGACTGCAGACAACCAGAATGACACCAGCCACAGTGGCGTTATTCTTGGGACAGTCCATGTTACACCTTGCGGGTCGTGCTTTTTCGGCGAAATTTCGTCTGAGTTTAGCAGACGGGCCAGAATTGTCCCAGACACCCTCGTTGACATCACAACCATTCGGGAATCTAGTACTAAACCGACGCAATGTCTGAATTTGTGCATCATTTGCAGGCCTCCGAGTCCGCAGTTTGCTCTTGATGTGTACGGGGGTTCCAAATACCTTGCAAACGATAATTACGGCTGGACTGCGAATGCAGGCCGCACGGCTTTATGACGCTACCGCATATGTCGCTGCAGTTGAGGATTGCGCTTTGATGCCAACCTTGCCATTGGCACAGAGGTCCATTTGGGTTTTGACGGTTATCAAGAGAGTTCCGCTGAGGACGTTCTGTCAAAGAGTTGTTTTTCGCCTTTAATATGCAATGCCGAAATTAGTCGTCGCACTATGCGCCGAACATACTGATCGCAGTTTAGTTCAGTTTCGTAGGTTATGTGCTCCTTTCTAATAAAACGATGTCGCCGTCCTAGAGTCACCCGCTTAGAGCGTCGCGTCCGGCTTTCCCTTGTCAACCAAGAGTGTGAACAGGAGCGGCCTGATGGCGAACCCTGGAGGGATGCTACTTTTAGTAGCAGCCCATCCTGGCACATATCTCCCAACAGTAACTTTTTATTTCCGTTCAAAGATAAAAATTGCCTAGCCTAGAAAGTTTCCATTATCGCCCGATTGAGATAGGGAGGAGGCGCTGGTACGGGACGCGACCAAAGATCATGTTTAAGTAGGAATAGATCACACGGGGGTCTCGTCTCATGCCTTTGTCTAATTTTCCCCTTGCAGTTGGGACGTAGGCGGGGCAAGATCGGTTTTGCCAAAAGCGTCTGGGTTGTCCTAAAGAAGGAGTTCTCTTTTAGGTGTTCCTTCTTCCATACTTTAGCGTGTATACTTGAGGTTCTCTGACTTGTACTTTTTCCTTAGAACCGTGAGTCGTCTTTGTGACTTGGTCCGACATTTTCCACTTTCTGGGGTTCTGAGAGCTTGCCACAATCCGGTGACCACTGATGTATTATGAAGAGGGATCCAGTAGGTTCTTACTTAGTTTCTTTTGGAAGTGCGCCTGAAACCCCGTCCGGGTCTGGGGATGTAGCTGAATTCAAGTTCCTCAACTCCTAGTTTTCCATGATATCGGTCAATTGAAATAAGTGCACTACACTCGGTGTCCAAGGGACAGCAGGTTCCTGCTTCTACTTGTTTGGCAAAGGCAGACCGAAAAAAACGTAAGAAGTCCGTCTTCTGCTGACTCCATTTTTCTAAATCTTTATACTTTGTGAAGTAAGCACGACCTCTAGTGCCCTACGTAGACATGAGGTGCCATTGGTTTTCTC